GTATTTGAACATCTATTTTTCCCTACCGGACAGCATAACGTCAGTAACGTTACTTTCAGGGACCCCCCCTAGAATTTTGATTTTGAGACATTCAGGGGGTCCTAGAGGTTAATTAGGGGCAGACCCCCTGTATTTCACACCTTGAAAGTGAAGTAAACTAAGCAGGCTACATGCGATAATGTAAGACACTGCCAGCTTGTTACCTACTGCTGGCTGTAGCTGCCCTAGATTAAAAACACTAATGCTGTAGCCATTTATACCAATCAGGCATAACATTATGACCACCTCCTTGTTTCTGTGCTCGTTGTCCATTTTATCAGCTCCACTTACTATATAGGCGCACTTTGTAGTTCTACAGTTACAGACTGTAGTCCATCTGTTTCTCTGCATACTTTGTTAGCCCCCTTTTACCCTGTTCTTCAGTGGTCAGGACCCCCATGGACCCTCACAGAGCAGTTACTATTTGGATGGTGGATCATTCTCAGCACTGCAGTAACACTGATGTGGTGGTGGTGTGTTAGTGTGTGTTGTGCTGGTATGAGTGGATCAGACACAGCAGTGCTACTGGAGTTTTTAAACACTGTGTCCACTCACTGTCCACTCTATTAGACACTCCTACCTTGTCAGTCCACCTTGTAGATGTAAAGTCAGAGACGATAGCTCATCTGCTGCTGCACAGTTTGTGTTGGTCATCCTCTAGTCCTTCATCGGTGGTCACAGGACGCTGCCCACAGGACGCTGTTGGCTGGATATTTTTGGTTGGTGGACTATTCTCAGTCCAGCAGTGACACTGAGGTGTTTAAAAACTCCAGCAGCACTGCTGCTGTTCAGCCAATCAGAAGAGATCTTTTACATATATCAGTCTTAAAGGCACATCAAGAAAAACAGCCTGTGGAGGATAGGAGCCCTTAAAAACTGAATCTACTGGTGGAGTGTGAGGATTTTGGTCAGTGAGTGGTGAGGGGTTGATATTGTAGTCGTTACTCTGGTCCATATTAATGCACACAGGCACAAATGAAAGACATCAATTAAAAAGCTTCAAAACGCATAAAAAATGCAACATAAAGTCATAATGTGCACTAAAAATCTCATCATAGGCACCATATTCCATCCACTGGTAAGCAGAGGCGCTACAAAGCAATAAATGACTAATAGAACTTGAAATGAATGGCTGAGCTTGTACAGTTTGGTCATTAGATAGAGATTAAAGCACATGAAAAACTAATACTCCCCATGTAAGATTATTGCATGAGGGAAATGAAGACATTTGTATCTGGTAGCCTGAAGCTCACGGTGTTCCTGTGTTTCTGGTGATGAAAAAGGAGCAGAATGTATGAATCTGCAGGCGCACACAGGTTAGACTGACTGCAGTATCCACAACACTCAGCTCCACATTCTCACTCTTACTCTTCATGTCTTTCCCAGCAGTATTTGACGAAGATGGACCTTAACTGACCCGAGCTGTTTTTGAAACAGTGCGCCCATCTTACCAAGTTACAGTGTTTATAAACAATAATAAACAGCCGAAAAATGCTGTATAAATGTAATCAAGAATTCCTTTTATTAAAATTCTTTTCAACTTTTTCCAGATAGCCTCAGCCCTAAATTCCTAATCTTGGCCACAGATTAGGAATCTAGAACGCTGGTTTTGCTTTATTGTTCATTTCACCGCACATGGACTTCATATTATGATGCTGAATTTCCCCTAAATTCATTTTTATTAAATTTCTTTTTGTGTGTGTCTTTGTGGGAGGGAGATTGTTGATTGCTGGGATTAGTCACAGTGGCCTCTCTCTCTCTCTCTCTCTCTCTCTCTCTCATACACACACACTCTTGTTCACTCTCTTTCTCTCTCTCTCTCTCTCTCTCTCTCTCTCTCTGTCTTGTTCTTTCTGTCACTCACTCTCTCTCTCTTCTGCTCACTCTCACTCTCTCTCTCTCTCTGATAGTTAATCCATCTTTTTATTTGCAGTCCTTTGTCAAGAAATCTACAATTGACTTCTAATCTCTTTATTATCTATAATAGACAGACAGATAGACAGACAGATAGACAGATAGATAGATAGATAGATAGATAGATAGATAGATAGATAGAAAGATTCACAGACAGACAGTCAGACAGACATACAGACAGACAGACAGATAGATAGATGGATAGATAGATAGACATGAAGACAGATAGAAAGATAGATAGATTCACAGACAGTCAGATAGACAGACAGACAAACAGATAGATAGATAGATAAATAGATAGATAGATAGATAGATAGATAGATAGAAAGACATTGTGATAAATATACAAGAATTAATTAGAATTAATGAATATATACCCTATAATGAGTATATACACTATAATGAATGTGTATATATAGTGAATGAACAGTAGTATCAGTAGAGCTGTATAAACAGTAAAGTCAGTATATTATAGTGTCAGAAATCACAAGTAAGTCAGTTCACCTCTCCTCTGTGCTCCTTTCTGCTTTTCTTCTTTTCTCCCTCTCTTCCTGTCCGTTTCTCCCCTCATGGGCCTGTCTGGGCTTGGCTGAGTGTTTCCTGTGTGCTGTCGTAATCTGCTCTTTGTGTCTCCTCTTCCTCCTCCTGCTGCCCTTCCTCTCCGTCTGTCCACCACTCTGTCCCTCTGCAGTGGCCACGGATGAGTCAGTTGTATTTTCATCACAGCTTGGACGATCGAGAATAACAGGCTGCGTCTGGCTTTTGAAACGGGCCGCAAATCCAAACACACAAACACAATCGGGAGGACACTCTGCTTGATTGTTCAAGGAAAATAAGCAATTGAACATCTATTGGTGGCCCCCCTGACAAAAAGCTTGACCATCACAAGTGTTTTGGAACACTTCGGGGTGTTTTGACCATCTGTCCAGCCTCAGTGTCTGTAAATTTATTTGTTTTGTAGGTCTGTAACGTCCATCTATGTGTTGGTCACATGACACACGCACGTGTTGGTAATCTAGACACCCTTTCAGAGGGTGTTGTTGTTGTCGTTGTTATGGTTTGTTTGTTTTTACAGCGGTGGTTGTTGTGTTTAGACAGCAGGACAGCACTCCAGCAGGTGGGCTTCTTCTCTCCTGCGCTCTTTCTCTCCGCTCACCTCTCCTGCTGCTGTGATCTTTTCAGCTCAGGCGTTCCCATGCGAGGATTTTTGCAGCAGAGCAATTTTATGGTTCGACACAAAGCTCGCCACTTACGCAGCGCTGAGGGACATTTCACAAAGCAGCTGGACAGAAGTCAGGACTGTCCAATAGGAGGAGGCGTAAGGAATATTTCTTTAAGACAAACTTCAGCTTTTAACTAAAACATTCTCCCAGAAAACATTGTGATGACTTTCCGCAACATGACTTTTGGATGTACACTGCAAAAAATAGCATCTTGTCAAGTAAAATGATCTTAAATCTAGTCGACAAATCCAGCATTTCTCCTGTTAAGATTGTTGTCAGCTTATTTTAAGATTATTTAACTTATTTCCAAACATTTTTTACCTGTTTTAAGTAATTTTATTTATTTAAAATAATTTAAAATTATCTCACTATATTGGCAGATCATTTAGTTTGTGACCCAAAAAAGCTCCCTCAAAGAAAGTTATTACATGAAATGGTTACCAAAATATTACCTGATGCCTGAGACATTGTTTTATGATAGTATTGAAATATATATATATGTATATATATATGTGTGTGTGTGTGTGTATATATATATATACCACAGGAGCTTCTACAGGATTCCTTTACAATCCAGAGCACAGCAACCAAACACTCTGCACCAAACATTAGTATTCTAATTTTGCAGGTGTTGCAGAGATCTTCAAAAAACAGAACTGGCCAAATTGACCAGGGAGACCAGGGTTTTCCAGGTTTTTCCATCTATCTGTTGGTCACATGACACACAAACAAAATGATCTGCCAATATAGTGAGATAATTTTAAATTATTTTAAACAAATAACATGACTTAAAACAGGTAAAAAATGTTTGGAAATAAGTTAAATAATCTTAAAATAAGCTGACAACAATCTTAACAGGAGAAATGCTGGATTTGTCGACTAGATTTAAGATCATTTTACTTGACAAGATGTCATGTTGAGGAAAGTATATATATATATATATATACACATATATATATACATATGTATATATATATATATTTCTCCATTCATGGAGGAGAGATACATGAAGAGTGTTCTAAGGCAAAATAGGGCTGATTTTCTACTATTTTTCTACTATTTTCCCATCATTAACATTCCATATAAAACTCACAGGACACGTGTGGTTTTGGATAGTAAATAAAATGTCTATATATTTGTGTTGTAGTCATGGTGACCCCTGGTTCCCATCACCACCACTGTAAAGAAAACTGAGTCTCTGTTTCTCTACAATGAACCATTTCACATCAGATCACTCTGAATGACTTGGTTTGCATCTCAAATGAACTGAACTTTGCAGATGTTTTGAAAAATTGGTAGAGTTTCTCCTGTATGTAGTAACTGTTCAAAACACCAACAAACACAAATGGTTGTTCGGTGTGTCATACAGTTTGACGGAAAAACCTGGAAGTTCTCCCTGGTCAATTTGGCCAGTTCTGTTTTTTGAAGATCTCTGCAACACCTGCAGAATTAGAATACTAATGTTTGGTGCAGAGTGTTGGGTTGCTGTGCTCTGGATTGTAAAGGAATCCTGTAGAAGCTCCCGTGGTCATACTATAGATCTTCTTCATAATGAAGATCACTGAGGGATCCTCTTCCACTCAGAGGAGAGCGCAGGCATCGACGACAACACGCACATACGCATATTTTAGACATATTTCTCATCACGACCTCATTCCTTTTCTGGTTGGGGGCCCACAGAAGAAAAGCAGTAGTGAAGAGGAAGTAATGGGGCTGACAGGAGCTGGGGATGAGGATGCCGTCACCATGCTGTTTGACCTGCATTCCTCCATAACTAACCATCTCCATCCCCCCATTTCTCTCTCTCTCTCTCTCTCTCCCCAGTTGCTGTGCTCGTCTGTGCAGCAGGTGCTGTTTGAGGAGGAGGAGCGCGTGGGCAGGCTGGAGGAACGCGTGGCGGAGCTGCAGCAGAAGAACGAGCAGCTGAAGTCTCGCGTGGGGAAGCTGAAGCGCGCGCTGAGGAAAGCCCGCAGAAGCAGCCGCCGAAAGCAGCGCGAGCGCCTCGAGCCCCAGCAGCGCCTCGGCAGCTCACACTCAACCTCACCTCATCACTTCAACCACATCGCTCCTCCACACAAACCCTCGCGCCCCACACACGGGCTCTGAGAGCATGCGCGAGACTCGGACTCCTGCAGACTGCTGGGCAGTCTCTTACTCCACTTGCTTTACTTGACCACCTTGTGTGTCAGGCCCTTACTCATGCTAGATGCTAATATCAGTGTTGTGAAGATTCAGTACTCGAATGCACATCGACGTTGCAATGGTTGGAAAAAAAAAGTGCTGTCAAAGAATTAAAATAATTAATGACAATTAAGCACATTAGCTTGCTACAGTTAATCATGAATAACCACATTAGTTTGTTATAGTTATTCACGATAAACCGTGCCAGCTTGTTGCAGTTAATCACGATTAATTGCATAAATTTGTTGCAGTTAATCATGATTAATCGCATTAGTTTGTTATTGTAATTCGTGATTGACCGTGCTAGCATGTTGCAGTTAATCACGCATAAAATTGTTGCAGTTAATCGTGATTAATCGCATTAGTTTGTTATAGTTGTTCACGATTAACCGTGCTAGCTTGTCACAGTTAATCACGATTAATCGCATTAAATTGTTGCAGTCGTTTGGGATTAATAGCATTCATTTGTATTGGTTATTCACGATTAACCGTGCCAGCTTGTCTCAGTTAATCGCAATTAATTGCATAAGTTTGTTGCAGTTCATCATGATTAATCGCATTAGTTGTAGTTAATCGCGATTAATCACATTCGACTTATTTGAAGGATTTGTGGCGCATTCTGTTATAGCTGTATGAGAAGCTGTATAAGAAAACAAAGGAAGAACCAGAATGTATTTGTTACCTTAAATACATCAGTTTAATATAAAATTGCATGAATGCAGCGTAGACATTAACGCAGTTTCCATGTTTGACTGAGAGGAAAGACAGGGCTGCATAGTGGCAGAGACATAGCAACAATGCATAAGCAGCTGGGCTTCAAAGGGGAACTATGGGTGATTTGAAGGGTCAAACTATGAAAATAACGACAATAACGTTAATAGCATGTTAACTTTGACACCTTTAAAAAAACCTAATGTGTACTTAACGGTCAAAACTCCAACCAAAATTCAGGGGAACAATTTGTGAAATGTTTTAAACGATTTTTTACACAATACTAAACTTCTTGTTGCCTGTTTTTCAGAAACAGCCTACAACTCTGCACACACTTTTCCTCTTAACAGCCAAATTTGAACTGAATTTTAACGACGTCCTCACAGCGGCCGTGTTGATGAGCGATGTTATTTGCTTCGCTGTAATGAAAATGCAGCATAATGGTAGAAATGCAATGGTAGAAATAATCCCAGGCTATATTTACTCATAGCTATAAATCAACCTGTAGAAATAATCCCAGGTTATATTAATCCAGTGCAATTTGTAGCAATTACTCATATATTCTGTGCCCAAATGAGTCCAATATGTACTGTTCTACCTCGAGGGTATGACTACGAATGTTGAAACATTAGGTTTGATTTTACAACATTGTAAAATGAAATTACAATTAAAAGATTTCTACTTGTGAGCAGCTAAATGTATTGCGTAAGGAACGTTTTTGTGTGAAGGCAGTGTGTAATTAAGTAGCTGCTCCCATCTCTGTAATTTAAAACAGCACTATGTCATATTTTTGGTTAAAACTGGAAGACGTAGCATTACTGAGTCAGGAGAAAACAGCACACTAAAAAATGGTGAGTGTGTCGCTGTGAGTCGCCCTGTAAAGCCGCAATTGATCATTTTAAAGAGCTCGATGTTGAGGCCTCAAATGCAAAGTCAACATTAAACAGATGATAATGACAGTAGATAATTCACTCACATCATTGGGTGACGTGTCTTCACCAAGGTTTGAGTGAGTTCTTCTGAATTCTCTTTCAATGCGCTCGCAAAAGTCAGATTCATCCACTCGTGGGGGTCCGAAGCACATCACAAAACATTCTTCCGCACATTGCGTGCAATTACACATTTCCACCAGAGAGGTCTCCAAATCCCAAAAACTTTCTTAGTGTAGCTTTAAACTGAGATTTCTTATCCTGTATGGCACATTACAGACATCCTGTGTAAACATTACATTATGCCTCCTCTGCATGCAAACCAATCCTGTCCAAATTGTACATTACAGGTAATTTATGAATGTTTTCCCATTATTTCTACCTTCTTTGCAGCTCATCTTTATTTCTTATCCTTCATCAGGTTAATTAACCTGCTTTGCTTAGAAAATGAAACGTCAAATGTGACTATCCGAAATGCTCTCCGAAACATTTTCTGCAGATTGTAAATACAGCAACTTTTGCAATGTTTGATCCATATATTTTTACAATAAATATCTGCAATGTAAACCATCTGGCTGTACTCGTTTCATAGAAATTAGTCACGTCTCTTTTATGTACCCACATGATCAGTCCTGGTCCATGATTTTTCTCCATGTCGGAAAAACTGATTGAAAGGGAGGTTGAGTGTTTGGCCACTTGGCTCAGATTCTGTTGACCCCCTGAAGCTGTGTGGGAGGGCGAAGGGGGCCAGAGCTTTCTGACAGCCTGTGTGAGTGAGTATGTGTGCAAAGTAGAAGTGGAAAACAGACACTTTAAGAGGCTGTAAGGACAGAGACCCCCACATTCTTCCCTTCAGTCTACAATAAGCTCCTGCTTTGCACTCCAAACAAGCTTCAAGCTCACCCAAGCCCCAAACTCACCATTGGTAATGTGTATTTAAGGGTCTGTATGAGTCTGAAAATACTTAAAGGGGAATTACACCCATTTTTTCCAAAATTTTTTGCATAATTCTGTTTTTGAGAAGTCTTTCAATGTGGTTTGATGGTACATTGTAAAAAGTCATACATTTCTTTACAGTGATGGTAACAGGAACCAGAGGGTCGCAATGTCTGCAAATATAGGCAATTTATTTACCACTGAAACCACAGCCAGTGAATCTAAACATTTTATAAATGTTATATGTAATGTGGACAATGGTACAATAGTGGTAAACCTGAAAAAAAATGTTTTGGGGTACTACTTTGAGCTACTTTGACCCTGCTTGTATCTCTCCACCTATGGTTGCTTTTAAAAAATGTTTATGTCTCAGACTTCAGGCAACATAACCATATGTGAGCTTTTAGAGGCTTTCGATGTCTGGGTCCTATCACCACCACTGAGATCAACTCCAACTTTGTAAGTTTCTCGAAAACATAGCATTTCAAACTAAATCACTCTGAATGACGGATCATTATCTTAATCTTAATTATGTAGAAATGAAAAAAATCAGTGAAATTCCCCTTTAAGCAAGCTGGTAGGTTTCACTGCAGAACCATTCACAGTGGTGGTGATAGGAACCAGACGTCCACCTCTAAAAACTCCCTCACAGACATAAAATTGTTATGAATATGCCACCTGATGCCTGCGACACTGTTTTATGATAGTTTTGAAGTCTATTTTTTCTTTAGTCCATTCATTGGTGGAGAGCTACAGTCATGTGCAAAAGTTTGAACACCCCTAGTCAAATGAGGTTTTATTTATTTTCCAAGTGAAAAATAACAACTTATTCTCTAAAGAGAACACACTGAAATGTGACATTTTTCTGCAAATTTTAGTGCAGAATTTATATTTATTTGCTTATTTTAACATATTGGGAAACACATACACACATCATCTAAACTGCTTATCCTTCTGGGTTGCGGTGGGGTGCTGGAGCCTATCCCAGCTGTCATTGGGCGGAAGGCAGGATACACCCTGGACAGGTTGCCAGTCCATCGAAGGGCAGACAGACATACACATTCACACACACCTAGGGGCAGTTTTAGCATGTCCAATTGGCCTGACTGCATGTTTTTGGACTGTGGGAGGAAACCGGAGAACCCGGAGAAAACCCACACAGACACGGGGAGAACATGCAAACTCCACACAGAAACACCCTGGACATCGAACCCAGGCCCTTCTTGCTGTGAGGCGACAGTGCTACCCACTGTGCCACCATGCCGCCCTTTGGGAAACACAATAAAATATAAAAGAATTATGCCCTAATTATTTTTCCCAGTAAGTTATATTCAGCAAGTAAACCTTAACTGTGTATTAAAATAGGCAGAGGTGTGTTCTCTGTAGAGGATGTGTAACTTATTTTCACTTAAATTGACAAAATAGAGAAAATTTCCTCAATCAAAGGTTCGAAACATCATAATGTCTAACTTGCATTGTGACTCAGTGCCATATACTGTAGACTGAAGTAGCCTAGTAGATATATCAACATCTTATCCCGTCGACAACTGAATGTCAAATCAAATTAAGTACAATTCAGTCATATTTCAACAACATTTATTGTCAGTTTTCTCTTTGTAGAGCAAACAGTGTGAAATAACTTCCCTCTGACTCACTTTCCTCTCCGACTGCTGTTTCTCTCCTCATCCCTCCCCTGTGTGTGTGTCACTGACTCGAGTCTCAGTGCTCTTCGTAATGCACAGATCTGATTGGCTGAGTAGCGTCACGTGTGATATTTACAACACACGCGATTGCTATGTGAGTCTCCCGAGCCGCTAAAGCTACCGTAAACGCTAGAAAAGTTAGGCCAGTTAAAATAGGACCACCCTGTCGAAATGAAATCATTCTCCATAGTTTATTGGTTATAGGTCCAGGTCCACATAGGACAGCGTCTGGGTCCGGACTCCGACCGCGGTCCGCCTATTAGTGACCTCTGGTATAGAGGATGAGGGAGTGGAGCTCCATCCATAACAACAGAGGAGAGACTGTTACATCAGCACACACAGCTAGCCCAAACACAAACATGTTTTTTAGGATTATATAAAGTGTTTGAACAGCTGAACTCTTTTTTGTATGCTTGGGCCTTACAGCCCTCTGAGAAAGAGAGCCAGAGAGCAGAGGAGCACCAGAGAGACTGTGTTCAGTGTCCACAACTCCTGCCACTGGCCAGAGGGGTGTTTGTGTTAGGAGGGGTCAGATATCAAACCCAAGAACAAAGACAGGCAAGAAGCACACATGAAAATACAGTACTGTGTTAAAGTCAGAGAGCGCCCTATGTTTATTTCATTTCCAGTCAAAACATTGATCACAAGTTATTCATTTTTTCAGGAGATATTTCTGAGCAGATTAGATATCAAATAATCCAGTTGAATTAGGAAGGAGAAAGTCAAAGGAAAATAAGTGAAAAAACTGATTTAAAGATATTAAAATAGGATTTCTAAATGTGCAAGATTGGCACAGTAAAAAAAGCAGTAAAAAGTTTGACAAAACTCATTAATTAACAGTAAAAGTAATGATGGTAAAATTCTGTAAAATTACTCATTTCATTTCTAAGAAACACTGCCTTCTACTGTAATTAAACAGTTTTGCTAGTTATACAATATTTGACCATAATAATAAACATTAAAATAACCAAATGAAATAAAGGTGATCATTTGTTTTTGTAAATTT